CTCCATTATTCTTCTCCGCCATTAATTTGCCGGTGAAGGCGTAACAGAGGATTGAGAAGGTGTTGAAATTCGAAATTGGAACGGCGAGATACGCTGATGATTATAGCCTAGACATTCGCATAACATGGCGACGGTACATCAACGAGGACTCTTCACTGAAAGTAACTAAAATTTCCTAAATTCACCAGAAATATAGGTATATCTCAATCGACGATAATATCGACGAAAATTAAAATCAAATATTTTTTAAATTACCAATACTTAAGTATCACATCTACATATAGATACCGAAGATATTAAAAACCCTAGAAATCCCTATATTACGCGATGCATAACAAAATTAATTCCGATAATGATTAAAATGATATCGATGGGAATTTGAAAATACAAATGAAAAGAAAATTAAAAGAATTTTGGTTAACTATTAATAAATATAGATATACCAAAAATCACTATATTACACGATACTTGGAAAGATACTAGCTTCAGAAGATAACCTCAAAATTGCAGTAGACGAATATTAAAAATAATATAATAGGAAATTGAAAGTAATTTTTTTTTTAATGATTGAAGGAATGACTGTGAGGTATTGAAGTGTCGAAAGAGTTGGAAGTAGCAGAAATCACGATGTCACGCGATATATAACGAAAACGGTTTCGAGATCACACACAGGGGACATCGGTTCGACGTGCAGTGGGAAACTAGGGAACTAACGAGGTCACGTGGCTTCTGTTAGGTGCCCCTGTGTGATCCTTCCCAGAAAACGCCACACCCTTCGACTTTGCGACTCACGAGACACACGATTCACGCTCGACGCTCGCAAGGACGGCGTCGCCGTTCCTTCCTCGAGAGACCGACACTTTTTTCTTTCCACTCGCTCGTGAATCACGCTGCTGTTTTATCTTTTCACACGTCTAGCCACGACGAAAGGTGTTAGCATACCTGTTACCCTAGTCTAAGTCTACGGGAACCGAGGTAAAAATGTTTGGGTTCTACGTTTCTTCGTTTCGGGAAGTTGGTACACGCTTGGTGATAATTTAGGGGATTACGCTATATCGAGTTGAGGAGTCGTGAAATTGGTATTTTTATTTTGGTAATTTTTGGTATTGGGGGAGATGGGATTCTAAGAGTGTTTATTCGGTTTATAAAATATATTTGGGACTGTTTAATAAGTTTTGCAATTTTTTAATAGGGAATTTCGAGGTTTGCAAATTTCCAAATTTCTGTATTTCTAAATTTCCAATTTTCAAATTTCGGAACTTTTAAATTTCTAAATTTCTATATTTCTAAGTTCCCAAATTTCCAAAGTCCCAAGGTTCCAAATTCCTACATTTCTAAATTCCCAATTTTCAAATTTCGGAACTTCTATATTTCTAAATTCCCAAATTCCCAAAGTTCCAAGGTTCCAAGTTCCCAAATTTCAAATTTTATAGTTTCTGAATTCCCAAATTTTCCAAATTTCTCTATACCTAAATTCCCAAATTCCCAAACTCCCAAGCTATCAAATTTCTAAATTCCTAAACTCCCAAATTCCCAATTTCTCAAATTTTTGAAATCCCAAATTTCTAAATTCCCAAACTCCCAAATTTTTGAAATCCCAATTTTACAAATTCTCAAACTTCTGTACTTTTAAATCTTCCAACTTTCAAATAAAAAAGTTAGAATTCTTCGAAAGCTCATATTCGCTCTTCTGTCTATATTATCCACTTCGAATGCTCATACACGTATCTCTTCTTTCTACGACTACTCGATATTCCACGAACGTTTCACTTGATACAACTCCAAATCGGAAGCGGAACTCTCGAGCCTTCAAGGATCCATCATCGTCAAATGAAACACCGGCGATTTCTTCCAAGAAACCTATCTATTCGCATCTCTTTACCGCGAGTGGAAAACACGGTAAATGGTTCAATGTCGATCGAAGGAAGGCTTAAGTCATTCTAGTATAATGTAACTGTAACGCGTGTGAACGCAACAACTCCTCAGCTCCCACTTCATTACCGATGCATCAAGTGTTTCTGTGAATACAAAAAAGAAAAAAATTCACTGAAATAATTAACGACGATTAGATATTCCGCAAACACGTTTCGACTACTGATGTGAAAACAGCGGAAATTTTCAATGGAACGAAAAGGAAAATTCTAATTACTCGTTTGCCGCTGTTTAATTATCCGCTGCTTATTATTAGGTTATTTGGTAATGAGAAGAGATATGCCACATCCACTTGTTGCCTCATCCAGTGAATGCTGGCCGGAAATTCTAGTTCTACTTCCTGTTGGAATTTAGATAACAATTATAAGGGTCATTGTGCCGAGGGAACAGAAGATATTGTGTAGTTTGCAAATGAAGCATGTTCGAGATAATCAGGGACAAAATAGACTCTAGTTTCTATAGTAATTTCGTAGAACTATAATACCCTCGTATGACCAAGAATTTGAACAAAAATTTATTTAAGTAAAAAATTTATTTTGTAAATATTATATATCAAATGATATTTTTATTTTAATTATTTGTTTGAATTTATAAATTAAAGTTAAATTACGAATTTTTTTTTCCTCGAATAATTTTTATTTCAATTTTCTTTTTACTTCAAAATTCTTGCTTTATGATTTTTCCAAAAATAATAGAGTTAGTGGGAATAATATTTAGGGTAAATTCGAGAATGAGATGATCGAGGAAGATCGATGACTCGAACTGGGTCAATGGAAGCACGTGTCAAAATGTCGATAATTGATCGAGATCCATGAGAAACAGGATTTACCGATATATTAATAGAGGCTGTCGACGAGATGATATAACGAGCATGCAAGTTTCGCACCAGGGGATACCCATTGATTAAATCAGGTTAGCAGCGCCATCTGTATTGATGGACGATTGTCTGATCCGCTTTTCGATATTATTGTCACGTTCGGGGTTCTCGACCTCGAAAACCACACGAAAATAATTTTATAATTGATTCCATCATCGTTAAAAATATCATTTCCATATAATTTCCAAATAAAAGAATTTTTAATCAATTTCTCAATCGAAAATCAGATCATGGTAAATCAAAATATTCAAACCATTGCATCATTTTCACTAGTATTACTTATTTTAAATTTTATAAATCATTATTATTCAATTATTCTCAGAACCTCACACTGAAATAATTTTATTAAATTTCTTAATTCAAAATCAGGTCGTTATAAATATTCTCAGGAATTTAAGACGTCGCATAATTTCCATATAATTATTTTTGTCAAGAGGTTATGACGCAAAGGAACAGTAGTCAGTGGAAACGGTGGAAAAACTGTATAGATCTTTATTAAACGGGCAAATGGTTAGAACTGGCCAGTTTAGGGCCACGTAGGTCACAAGACGTCTCCAGAAAACGAAAGACAAACGACAAAACGCAGGAAAAGATCGCCCCCAATTCGCTAGGATGTAGAGTTTTCTTTACTATTTAGTTTTTACTACAACAATTTTCACAACCCAAGAAAATCCCTCTCAAATAAATAAGTTATCATCGATAAACCCCTACATTCATTCCAATCAATCCCACCCATTTTCCCTTCGTAAATAACCCTATAGGATCATTCGCACGCTCGCTACACCCGCCCAAAATCATTCAACGGATCAACAACCCTCGCAGCCGACTTGCTTCATCTAACCGACTCACACAACGAAACACTGAGTTTCCTGATCCAAGCTCCCTATAGGAAATCAAACAGAACCGGTCCCTTGACATTAATCGTCGGCTATTTCCTCGGTCCGTGCGTCAGCCGCGCGAATCGCCATGCGTTAATAAGCTTCCTTGGTCCGGCGTGTTCTTGACCGCGTGCGCGCGCATGCTAGGTAGCGCTAGTGAGCACACGTGGTACCGCGCGCCATGTTTCCTGACCGAGGGAAAGTGGCGGAAGGCAAGGTTGCGTGTGCACGGAGATGAGATCCGAGATATCCAGCGACACGTTGTGCATAGAACCCAGAGATAGAGGGTCCACGGAACGTAAAAGGGGGAGCGATCTTCTGGGGTGAATACGACGGAGAAAGGGAGCGAAGGGTGGTTTGGAATCCTAGGGAATTAGGACGAATGAACTAGGTGGGATTTGCCTTCGAATTGGATGACACGTTCCAAGTTGGAGCTTGACGACCGCGTTTACAAATTGGACGACATTTTATCTCCATTTGGGCCCCTTATAGCCTGTGATCACTTTAGATATTTCCAGATCTTGCCTAGACGATTGCAATTAGCTTTTCTTATAATTATTCGTGAAATAAATTACTTTTAATATAGTTTGCGATTTTTTGAATAGGCTTTGCGCTTCATTGACGATATATATTGTCGTAAATTCTTTTACAATGCACTCTGGCTGTTGAAAATAAGGGTGAGGTGTATCTGGATGGATGATTTTTGAGAATTTGACTAATGGGGGGAAATAGGGCGAGTGTTTGAGGGTGATATCGATATCTGGAAATATATATAGTGCAATTTTATTTATCAGCTTATCAGAGTGGAACAATCATTTTCAGTTTTCATTTTGGTATTTTTTTATCCAAAAATTTCCCTAGCTTCTTATTTCCTATGATTTGCTATATCAACTCAATACGCGTTTGATTCGCAGTGATGAATAGAGGAAGGGTATCGAGAAAATGATAATCAAGGTACATTCGCATGGTTCAGTTTTTATTTTGATATTTTTTTATCCAAAAATTTCCCTAGCTTCTTATTTCCTATGATTTGCTATATCAACTCGATACGCGTTTGATTTGCAGTGAAGAATAGAGGAAGGGTATCGAGAAAATGATAACCAAGGTACATTCGCATGCTCTTTAGCCGTGACGCGGTCGAACGAGGGTCGGTTTCGAGAGCTGCGGTATTAGCATGATAGAAGCAGAAATGAGAGAACAGTTCATAGCCAGCGAGGCGGATACGTTTCATGCGTGCCTGGCTTGTACCTGCGTTTCGTTCTGTTGCCCGTATCGCGATTCTATAGCCGTGTTCCGTTGCTTGGTGATTGCAGCGTTTATGGCAGGACGGGAAGCGCAGGGAAGTGATCGGGCCCCTCCGCGTGGTGCATCGCTACGTGAACATGGTGGAACAGACGGCCGAATACTACAACGAGACCACACAGAAGACCGAAACCGTAAGAAGAATTTTCTATCCCGCCAATTTTCATATCGTATTTAATTGATTTTTCCAAAAGTGGAGGAATATTGAGAAAAATATTTTGGAAAATATTTAATTCAGGATAGAAGCTTCGAATAATACCTAAGGGGAATTGAAAATTATTTTATTGCTATAGTGATTTAATTCGGTAAATTAAAAACACGAAGTATTGGATTAGTTCCAAAACAATATTAACGTTTTTAATATAAAATAGTAATAATTTTGATTGAGAAACAGTTTTATTAAATAATATATTTTGATTTATAGATTTTTAGGTATATTAGAAAGTATTGGATTGGTCCCAAAATAATATTCATATTTTTAACGTAATATGATAATCATCTAAATTGTGAACAATTTTTGGTGCACAGTAAATAATTCCAATTAGTATTTGGTTATGTTTAGTAGATTAGGAAAATTGTTATATATTGAAAAAATAAAAAAGGAAAATAGATTTAGAGGTTATGGAATATTTATTATTAAGGAAATGTTATATTAGGTTCACGGGTGTGAACCAGCAATGGGGTACAGCTTTGCAGCTGGAACGATCGACGGGCCAGGATCATTCTCGTTCAAGCAGGGCACAACCACCGCGAACCCAATGTGGAACGCGGTTAGGAACCTACTAGCGGCCCCTACGTCCGAAGACATAAAGTGTCATGGCGCCAAGCCGATTCTGCTTGCCACTGGACATGTAAGTTCACACTGATTGTGAGACATAGTTGCATAGAAAATATAGAAAATAATCACAGAGAAACTTTGAAAATTATCTTCACTGAGACACCAACTATTTCTAAACAATTTCTAATCTCCATAATTACAAATAAATAAAATGATCAAACAATTAATTTATTATTTCTCATTTTTCACTTGGATCTTGTATCTTACAATTCTCTGCACTCCCTAAGCCTAGTTTAATTTGGAATATTTTCTTTTTTTTTTTTTTTAAAGATAATAATTGAAATATTGTTCTTTTATTTCTTTTATTTTTAAATGAATGTTGATTTTCGAGATAAGTTCGTTAGATTGGTTTGTTTATTTATGATTTATTTCGATGTTTTTCAGATGAATCTTCCGTACGAATGGCAGCCGAAAATCGTGTCCACACAGGTGGCGCTGATCGGAAACGTTGTCATTGCCGGTGTACCGGGAGAATTCACAACAATGTCCGGAAGAAGATTGCGAGAGGCTATCAAAAGGGTCATGAATGATGCGTCCGACGACGAAACCTCCGTTATAATCGCCGGTCTCTGCAATACTTACAGCGATTACGTCACTACGCCGGAGGAATATCAAGTAAATCGTAGATCATTCTTACCGTTCGCTTCCTTCCGACGTTTTTAGAATAATCTTTCTATCCCCTGTTACGTCACGATCCTCCACTACAATCGTTTGGAAAGCAGACGGAATTATTTCGTTTCCGATAAACATTGAGAACAAAAGAACTTACTGGATATATTTATTAAACTTTGGATTAGGTTTGTGAAAATTGGGGTGATCTATATTTTGGTGTTATTATAGATAATAGATTTGGAATATTATAGATAAATTAAATATTATAGATAAATTAAATATTATAGATAAATTTAAGTGTTAAAGCACTTGGTATAGTCCTAATTATTTATATTTAAGATTTTTCAAAAAATGAAGTTAATCGATTTGTGCAGTGAACAACTCAAATGAGAGTTAAACAAAAATTTGTGACAAAATATGATATAAAAAATATAAAAATATAATTTGAACATCTTAAATTATATTTAGACGTTATAGTGAAAATTGTAAGGATAATAAAATTTTATTTGCATCGTATATTGAGTATAAATTAATTTGTTTAAATAATTCGTAACAATTTCGTGATCTAATTTTTCAGCTCCAAAGATACGAAGGTGCGTCGACCATATTTGGACCTCATACGCTCACGATTTATTTAAAACAGTACCAAGAACTCACGACAGCTGCCATACTTGTGAGTACACCACCAAAACCTGTTTCTCTCTCTCTAAAAAATATCGTAATTTTCCTTCGAGGAAATTCCAGACGAAAATCAAGCGTTTTCATAATTTTAATTTCGATTTGGATTTAGAAAAAGGACATTGAGCCTGGCCCAACACCTCCAGATTTGAGACGCGAGAATCTTCTCTCGTTTGTCACACCTGTTCTCTATGATACTCCGAAATGGAACAAGAATTTCGGTGACTGCATCAAACAGCCCCAGAAATATGCAAGACCAGGTGACATCGTCACTGCAGTATTTGTGAGTATGCTAATAACAAATGCAAACCAGCCAAAAAGAAAAGAGGAAATATGAATCTATCCTTGTCACTTTTCCAATTTTTATATCACTTGGTGGTGAAAAAATAATATTCTGCCATCTCACAGTGGGAAAACAAAATTTCTTAGGTTTAAAAATATAAAACTTTCAGAAATAAGAACTCCATGAAATTTTATAGAAAACTACCTATCGTAATAATAAATTTTCTTTTTATTTAATTTTCAAAAAGGTCAAAACACGTGTTTCATAAATTAAATTTATCAATTTGTAGTAAATTTTGAATTTATATAAAAAGAAAAATGTGACTTATACTTTTATTTTATAGTCTTCCAATAAATAAAATGTTTCGTGTGCTTTGATGTGTAATAATTAAAGTGCATTAATCGAATAGAAGCAGGAAGGCAACCATGACCCAGTTAGATCGAAGGAATGATAACCGTACATCGATTCATACACGTTACGTAGCATCCTATAATGGAATTTGAACGGAGCGTGCGATGCCATATTCAAAATGGCGACGTACAGGTTCCCGGTCCATTTAACAAACCGAATGATCTACGTTTGCAATAAATGCACATCTCAGGAAATGCTAGAGTACTTTCATAAATAACCACAAATTCATCCCCAAACCAAATACAAATCGATTTCTCACAGGGAACATCTTTTAACCTGCTTATGCTAACTAATCGTCTTAAAAGTTTCTTTCCCTGTAGGAAGTCTTTTTCGTTTCTTTCTTTGTTATTCTGCGAACTATAACAATTTTCTAAAATCATGGAGTGTCGTGGATTCTGCGTTTCACAAAATTCCAAATTTAACTGTAACATAAATTCTTTATGCCTCGTGCACACGTGCAGTTCTCGACTATTTTCAAATTCGACGATTTATAATTCATTCGTCGTGTAAACTTGTTATTCACGAAGGCAGAAGAAGAGCGAAAATTTTATGACTATCGTTTGCCATAAATCTGCTCGTATTTTCACCAGGTTTCTGGCCACCCACGCAACAACCTGATGACTGAGAGCTCGTTCCTGACCATCGAGAAGCTCGCTGAGGATGAAGTATGGATACCAGTTGCCAATGATGCCAGTTGGGAGACTAAGTGAGTACACTATCCCTATTTCTTGATCTATGATTTAAATCCTCGAATCGACGAATAGAACAATTTTTCGTAAAAGGAATAAATTACGTAGAATAAATTTTTATTGTACAAATAAATTTTGGAAATTAACTTCTAAGTGTCGTGATACGTGTAAATTTACTTGAAAAAATGTTACTTTAAATAATTTGTATTAATAAGGACAAAATTACTTACGAAATGCTTGGAAAATTGCTTAAAAAATTCTTTAAAAAATTTTAGAAGAATTTTCTTTGGAGATTAATGTCGAAAAATTGGAATGCAAGACTATAATAGGAGTATCGATCAGCTAGGAGTACGAGATCAGGCATAAAACCAGCTATCAGGTAGACAAATCATAACGATATTTTACCTCTGTCTGGTGTGTCGTTGATACAGGTTCGAATGGCAAAGGACGTCGGTGATCCTTGGTGCGAGTCAAGTGATCATTACGTGGCAGGTCCCTGAGGACATCAAAGACGGTGAATATCGTATCAGACACAACGGCTACTACCGTTATATCCTTGGTGGCGTCTTCCCTTACTACGGCGTATCAAACCACTTCCAGGTAAATTGAAGAAACTGGTTTTTAATATCCAAAATCTTTTCCTTCATCTAGATATACTTATGTATATTCCTGTACAAAGATATACATATGCCTATTCTCATATAAAAATATAAATATATATATTCCTGTATACATATATATCTATTTCTCATAATGGAAAATATATATTTATATTTTTATATTTTCTGGATAAGAAACATTCATCTTTTTCTTGAATTTTTAATCTTCTTAAAACGTCATTTTTAGAACGCCATTTCCTAAAATATTTTTTTTTTCTTTTAGACGTTTGTAAATTTTTTATTTAATTTAGAAGTTTCATTTTATTTGCTGGTAATTGTTTGAGGCAACAACTTTTACAATTTGAGGATCTCTTTCTTCTACTAGAATTCTTTTAATTAGGAATTTAATTAAAATTAATTTTCCCGTGGAAATGAAGTTAATGGATTTAAAAAATTATTTCTAGATAAGGTAGGCTTAATTTTGAGTTAACTGATCTTAAATTAATAGTGAATCAAAGTTTAGTTATGGGTAATAAAATAAATAAAATTGTTCTAGTCCAGAATTAATTACTTTAATCTCGATCCAAGATTAATAAATAATAAAATTAAGATTAATAAGTAATAAAAATTAATAGCAATATTTACATCAGTAATTATTAATAATATTAATACTATATATTAATGGTAATATACATAGCTATCTTTTAAATTAATTTCTGAACTTTTCTTTCATTAAAAGCACAATCCAGTAATCCAGTATACCATAAAAATCTTAATCAGACCAATTTATCAAAATTTTACAACATTTTTATTTTTACACAAATAGCCGAATTACATTGAGAACTTTTCGTAGCTTCTAAACGAAGCATAAAAATTTACCTTATCACCCTCGCAGCCTTCCACCGTAATTTCCAGATTTTTAACAAGCTTCTCCTAACGTGCCATCAGAGCCAACGGATCGGTGACATTTCCAACAGCCCGAGATCCTATCTACCGTTCTTACAGGCACCATAGGCAGTCACGTGACATTTTCTATTGATCATTTCAGGTTATAACCACGCGGCCAAAGGCTTGCAGGCGACGTTACTATGAATAACCAAGCCGTGATATTCTTGGTCCCGAATGAAATGCCTACGCTTAATTCACTGACTGAATCTGGCCATAATTCAGCTGTGAAGGCCATAAGATAACACGGGATACCTCGTACACTCTCCTTCTTCTTCGTAATTCTTTTATTTTTCCCTCTTTTTTATTGTACAGTGTTGTATTATATTTTATCGACGTGTGATCTCCTTAAAACGTAGTAGCAATAACCGTTAGAGCGTAATTTAATCTTGATTAAGGCTCATTATTAAACCACCGTGCTTTAGACCGTGGTAATTTGCATCGTGTACATTAACTGTCCAACGCGATAGAGAATAAAAGGATAATTTATAGAATCGTACGTGTGATTTATTTACTTACATTAGCGTTAGAATAATTAATTGTTAGTTACGGTATTATTTATGTAATTAAGATTATAATATATCATATGTGAAACGTGTAAAATTGATCAGTGATTGTAATCGGTATTAAATATTACTATGAATATAAATATTAAGTATTGTAATAATTATTAATATATTATAATATATTAGATAATATATAATGTAATTATGATATAATTATTATTCGTATATCTAAATTTTCGTATTAAATATTACCTATACATAAATTTTCCTCATCTTTGTGTCCTCTTTTTGTAATGGTGTTTTCTATTATTTGTATTCGTGTAATTAGTATAATTGGATTTTACAAGCGAATAAAATTGCAGATTTATTTAAAATTCTTCCTTAAGGAGAAAAGTTGAGAGTGGAGTGGAAATGTATTCGAAAAAGAATCAGAGGGTAGTTGCAAGCGATGAGGGTAGGTCCTACGAAGTTCCTCTGGGTCGCTATTAGCGCCAGGTTTTATAACACGAAGTTTTTCCCAGTTTATGGCAACACCCACGTATGATCACGGTATTTTACCATAGCGACGACGAGGGTGTTAAAGTTAATAGGATCTTTCGCGAAAACTCAGCTTGTACTTTGAAGCTGGAGCTCGTCATATTTACAGAACTATATCTGTGATCACTTCTCGCTATAGTAAAATCGAGGTTAGTGCAATTACTCTACACATTCGGATGAATTTCATACTTCGATTATGTTCTTAAACATCGTTCCAAATTTCGAACAGATCCATTCACCCTTCCACAAATGGGATCGTACAATTTAGTGGAGATATGGACCATGGTGGCGCTAGTGAGTTAAAGGCAAAACCCTCAAACAGTAGTTATAATAATTCACTGCTTGCAGCTCATGAAAAAATTAAAAAATTCTCAAATAAAAATTAGAAAATCGCAAAATTATCGTGAGAAAATGGCCATTTCGTTGAAAATAAATTAAATTAACAATAAAATGACAGAGTATAAAGTTCTTCGTAATTTTTATTCTTTTATCAAACCCTCAGAGATCTCGTCTAAAGATACAGTTATCAAATTCGAGGATTTTTGGTAGAATTACGTATTTCATTTTTCCGTGGGCATTGCAGTCAGGTTTATCAGAGATCGACACGCCGATAATATCTCAATTTCGGACAAAAGAGCACGATCACGCCTAAACTACATAATTCCAGGTCGCGATACCGATCTCTGTCCAAAAATAGTCGACGAAGTGGCATTCGAAGCGTTAAACAACGATTACGAATATCTGGAAACGAGATCGCGACACGTGAATTCGTGTTTCAAAGGTCGAAGGACTTTGGGAAGAGGGGAAGTATATTTTACGTCGCGATGGCGACGGAGGGGAGGAAGGAGAATTAATTAAATTTATTCGGCTGAATCTTACGCGAAAATTTCATCTCGAGAAGTGCAATTCCATGGAAACGTCGAAGTTAATACCATCCTACTGAAACAGCTTCGATATCTTTCGATATCTTTCGTTCTGAATGCAAACTAGAGCCTCACTCTGGGTTCTTAAATGAATTGAGTCGATATCGGGAATTTTCTCCGATGGAACCTTCCATCTTGGAATCTTTCATCGAGATTTCATTAATAGGCTGAATTTTATTATTTCTGTAAATGGTACTGAAACTGGGATTAATATCGAGATCGTGAGACAGAGGTGTGGTGATTGGTCAAGGATTTGGGATAATAATTTAGAGGTATAAATTTATTAATAGATTTAATATATTTATATA